TCCCTTTCTGTTTTAATAATACTATATAATACATTTTTACTCGTTACCACCACTGGACCAGTATGCTTATCAGGACTGGCTTTTCTATAAATGTTTATCATTAATTACAATGCACTTCTTGAATTTATAGTATAATTTTACAGTATATGGATATATTTTATATTATATAATTTTTATAGTATATAGTTTATATTTTAGAGCGTGCATTTTAGCATTTTATATTAATACATCTTGATACGGATTAATATCCCTTAGTTTTATACATGTACAGTGGGGCAAAAAAGTATTTAGTCAGCCACCAATTGTGCAAGTTCTCCCACTTAAAAAGATGAGAGTTACTGATGGTAGCTTTGTTACGTTGGTCCCAGCTCTCTGCAGGTCATTCACTAGGTCCCCCCGTGTGGTCCTGGGATTTTTGCTCACCATTCTTGTGATCATTTTGACCCCACGGGGTGAGATCTTGCGTGGATCCCCAGATGGAGGGAGATTATCAGTGGTCTTGTATGTCTTCCATTTTCTAATTATTGCTCCCCCACAGTTGATTTGTTCACACCAAGCTGCTTGCCTATTGCAGATTCAGTCTTCCCAGCCTGGTGCAGGTCTACAATTTTGTTTCTGGTGTCCTTCGACAGCTCTTTGGGCTTCACCATAGTGGAGTTTGGAGTGTGACTGTTTGAGGTTGTGGACAGGTGTCTTTTTTATACTGATAACAAGTTCAAACAGGTGCCATTGATACAGGTATTGAGTGCAGGACAGAGGAGCCCTCTTAAAGAAGGTACAGGTCTGTGAGAGACAGAAATCTTGCTTGTTTGTAGGTGACCAAATACTTATTTTTCCACCATAATTTGCAAATAAATTCTTTCCAAATCAGCCAATGTGATTGTCTGGATTTGTTTTCTCATTTTGTCTCTCATAGTTGAGGTCTACCTATGATGCCAATTACAGGCCTCTCTCATCTTTGTAAGTGGGAGAACTTGCACAATTGGTGGCTGACTAAATACTTTTTTGCCCCACTGTAGATCTCTTTTTTCAATTTTATATATGCATTATCTTCGCTATTTTCTGACAGCGATTATTGCTCCATTCATTTAGGTACTGGCCGGCCATGTTCACTCCCTTGACTACAGTAAAATGGCGATCATTATATGTCACTTTTATTTATAAATCGTCCCATCTTTTTAATTGGCCTTTTTTTCAATCTATTATCCAATGCCAGTACTGTTTTTATATTAGTTTTTTTTATTAATTTAGATCGGAGCACTGCTTATGATCTTTGCTCCGGTACTTCAGCTTTGTTTTTATGCTATTGGTGGTCCTCTGGTCTCCTGTAAAATGGCGCCCGGCCGCTCGTGCACACGGGGCTATATAAAGGCTTGTGTCTATGGCGTCAGTAAGGAGGTGGAACCCTTTGATAACGTGCATGTGCACGAAACGCGTCCGGTGAGAGCCTGTGTACTGACGTCACGCCGCCGTGTCCACATGATGGTCCGACGACCATCTTTGCGAGTGGTTTTACCTTATTTGCTTGCTCCACGTGGATGCTTTTTTAATACTGGAATAAAAATACTACACTATTAGCGGTTTCTGTTTCTGGGATCTTTTGTGAGCTGGTTCCTTCAGGATTTTGTCATTGTTCACATTGAGGATTGATTGCTGTGCTGGTGGCATCTCCCTTTCCGGTCCATCATTGCTGTATTCTGTCTGTGCCTGACATTTATTATTTATTTCAGGTACTTATATAGCGCTGTCAATTTACGCAGCACTTTACATATATATTGTACATTCACATCAGTCCCTAACCCTCAAGGGGCGTACAATCTAAGGTCCCTAACTTACATTCATACATACACATACTAAAGACAAGGGACAATTTAGACAGGAGCCAAATAACTTGTCAAATAACCAGCATGTCTTTGGAGTGTGGGAGGAAATCGGAGTACCTGAGGTAAACCCACAGGCACAGGGAGAACTTACAAACTTCAGGCAGGTGGTGCCGCGGTTGGGATTCAAACCGGTGACCTTGGTACTGCCAGGCGGAAGTGCTAACCACTTAGCCACTGTGCTGCCCCACATTAACCTAGCCTGACCTGTATGTGGAGGAGTTTGCTACCTTTGCTGTATATGCACATTGTACATGCACTTCTGGTGAGTGCATTGTAAAGAAGTCATTTTCACGGATTCACTTATTACTGGAAGTCATGATTCTTATTTGGACTCATTTTACGTTGTCTATGATTGGACTCTTTGTTCGTCATTTATTTATCATACTTGTATATTTATGTCATTACAGTCACTATCTTTGTTGCCACTATTGCACTGCTACTTCAGTGTTCCACTTTATCCATATTATTATTTATTTATGTCACTTCACCGCCGACCAGTGCGCTTCACTCTGACTGCATTATTTGTTGCCGTATGCACTGTGCGCTTCAGCATGCGCTGACCCCGCCCTGTCATGTGACGTGGCCTACCACTTGGTGGCTGAGTTGCTGTTTTTTCCCAGTTGCTTCCACTTTGTTATAATCCCACTAACAGTTGAGCGTGGAATATTTAGTAGCCAGTAAATGTCACGGATGGACTTATTGCACAGGTGACAACCTATCACGGGGCCACGCTTGGAGTCACTGAGCTCCTGAGAGCGACCCATTCTTTCACCAATGTTGGTAGAAGCAGTCTGCATGCCTAGGGACTTGATTGTATACACCTGTGGTCATGGAGGGGATTGGAACACCTGAATCACATGATTTGGTGGGCGGACCCAATACTTTTGGCGATATAGTGTATCTTTCTCGCCATTCAAAGGAGAAAGAGCATTTGAGCAGGATTGACAGTTAGTGATCACTGTGATAGCCAATCACAGGTCATCATAGTGATCATGTGAACAGGAACCTCTTTAGGCTCCATTTACATCACCGCGATTCTCCCCACGATTAGAAAACACACTGTAAAAATGTGAAAGCGCACGATCGCGTGTTCAGATGCGATTCATTTCATTGGCACCTGAAAACGCAGAGCGTTCTTTTACCTCAATCATTGTCACATTTTCCTGCATGACAAACGCACCGCGATTGCACAAACAAAATTGCAAATATATTGATAAGGGCCTCCTGCACTACTCACAATAAACTAATATCAGGTGGGGGGGGGGGGGCTGCTATCCCCAACCATATACCAAAAGTTTGAGAGAACATTGGTGCTACCCCCCAGTCCTACACTAGCATACCCCAATATGCCATCAGGTTAAAAAATATACAAATACATAGTGTTGCATAACCAATTAAAGAAATCTGTGTATATAATAGAATAGACAAAAAACTTTTATAAATCATCCAATCATGGTCTAATGATTCATTTCACAAAAAGAGACGTGACTTAAGTACGCCACCAGTGCAAATGCAGTGAAACAAAATAACAGTACAGTATACAATCACTCACAAATAAAAAGTAAAGTGAAATGATCCACTAAATGGGATCCATGGTGAAAAAAAACTGTGAAGTTCTCATGATATACCGTATTTTTTGCTCCATAAGACGCACCTGACCATAAGAAGCGCCTAGGTTTTACAAGGAAAAAAAAATATTCTGAACCAATGGACTGCAGACATAGCACAGGGAATGACCAGAGACTGCGGACACAGTATAGGAGATGACCAGAGACTGAGGACACAGTACAGGGGATGACCAGAGACTGCGGGCATACTACAGGGGATGACCAGAGACTGCGGGCATACTACAGGGGATGACCAGAGACTGCGGACACAGTACAGGAGATGACCAGAGACTGCGGACACAGTACAGGGAATGACCAGAGACTGCGGACATAGTATAGGAGATGACCAGAGACTGAGGACACAGTACAGGGGATGACCAGAGACTGCGGGCATACTACAGGGGATGACCAGAGACTGCGGGATACTACAGGGGATGACCAGAGACTGCGGACACAGTACAGGAGATGACCAGAGACTGCGGACATAGTACAGGGAATGACCAGAGACTGCGGACATAGTACAGGGAATGACCAGAGACTGCGGACACAGTACAGGAGATGACCAGAGACTGCGGACATAGTACAGGGGATGACCAGAGACTGCGGACACAGTACAGGAGATGACCAGAGACTGCGGACATAGTACAGGGAATGACCAGAGACTGCGGACACAGTATAGGAGATGACCAGAGACTGAGGACACAGTACAGGGGATGACCAGAGACTGCGGGCATACTACAGGGGATGACAGAGACTGCGGGCATACTACAGGGGATGACCAGAGACTGCGGACACAGTACAGGAGATGACCAGAGACTGCGGACATAGTACAGGGAATGACCAGAGACTGCGGACATAGTACAGGGAATGACCAGAGACTGCAGACACAGTACAGGAGATGACCAGAGACTGCGGACATAGTACAGGAGATGACCAGAGACTGCGGACACAGTACAGGGAAATGACCAGAGACTGCGGACACAGTACAGGAGATGACCAGAGACTGCGGACATAGTACAGGAGATGACCAGAGACTGCGGACACAGTACAGGAGATGACCAGAGACTGCGGACACAGTACAGGAGATGACCAGAGACTGCGGACACAGTACAGGAGATGACCAGAGACTGCGGACACAGTACAGGAGATGACCAGAGACTGCGGACACAGTACAGGAGATGACCAGAGACTGCGGACACAGTACAGGAGATGACCAGAGACTGCGGACACAGTACAGGAGATGACCAGAGACTGCGGACACAGTACAGGAGATGACCAGAGACTGCGGACACAGTACAGGAGATGACCAGAGACTGCGGACATAGTACAGGGGATGACCAGAGACTGCGGACATACTACAGGAGATGACCAGAGACTGCGGACACAGTACAGGAGATCACCAGAGACTGCGGACAGTACAGGAGATCACCAGAGACTGCGGACAGTACAGGGGATGATCAAGAGACTGCGGACCTTTAGGGAGGGAGGGGGAGTGGGTACCTGAATTTGACAGGTACGCGCTCCCACTTCCTCGGAGCTGTCCTCCCTTTACTGTGGGCACCTGGCTGTGACAGCCGTGGTGCCCACTGTGCATGCGTGAGAAGTGCAGCACTTTGTGAATTGCCCGGCGTCTTCTGGGACCTGTCATGTGTTCCAGAAGACGCCGGACCATTCACAAACTGCTGTGCTTCTCGCGCATGCGCAGTGGGCACCCGGCTGTGACAGATGCAGGAGCGGGAAGAAGCCGGCAGGTGGGAAGACTGTACAGCGCTGGACCGAGGACCAGGTAAGGCCGCTTTATATTCACTCCATAAGACGCACTGACATTTTCCCCCCTTTTTTGGGGGACAAAAAGTGCGTCTTATAGAGTGAAAAATACGGTACTAATTATTAAGTAACGGCAGTGATACAAATATGAAAGAAAAAAGTACAATGTACCAATGGGACTCTAAAAGGTCCAAACTAAAATATTCTATAGTGAAACATAAATTGATATATAAAGTGAATCTCTGAAATGTGGGATTATTTTCAATTATCACATTAAATTTTGTGATAAATATAGTGGCCAAGGAGGCAATTGGTAGCCAAAAGAAAATGTAAAAATAAATAAGTGAATCCCTGAATGTTGGATTTTTCAGATTATCACATTGAATTATTGTGATGAGTGTGGTGATCAAAAAAGACAAATAATAACCAGAAAACATAATTTAGTGATATCACAACAAAGGTGACATCAAAAAATGATAATAGTAAATAAATAGATCAAAGTGTCAAGTAAAAAAAATGTCCAAGAAGGGTCAAATCCAAAGATATGTTGAAAGCCTCAAATATTTCCAACGCATCAGATGCAGTGCAGGTGATGGTGTTAAATCCGCACTGTATTGGGGTATGCTAGTGTAGGACTGGGGTAGGACTGGGGGTAGGACTGGGGTAGGAGTGGGGTAGGACTGGGGTAGGAGTGGGGTAGGACTGGGGTAGGACTGGGGTAGGAGTGGGGTAGGACTGGGGTAGGAGTGGGGTAGGAGTGGGGTAGGAGTGGGGTAGGAGTGGGGTAGGACTGGGGTAGGACTGGGGTAGGACTGGGGTAGGAGTGGGGTAGGACTGGGGTAGGAGTGGGGTAGGACTGGGGTAGGACTGGGGTAGAGTGGGGTAGGACTGGGGTAGGACTGGGGTAGGACTGGGGTAGGACTGGGGTAGGACTGGGGTAGGAGTGGTGGGGTAGGAGTGGGGTAGGACTGGGGTAGGAGTGGGGTAGGAGTGGGGTAGGAGTGGGGTAGGACTGGGGTAGGACTGGGGTAGGAGTGGGGTAGGAGTGGGGTAGGAGTGGGGTAGGACTGGGGTAGGACTGGGGTAGGACTGGGGTAGCGCTGCACCAATTTTATCACAAATAAAATTGCCCGATGCCCTTTTTTGGAACCTTTCCTGGGCGTCCCGTGATTTTTTTTGCGTGATCTCTTTTCAGGTGCTGTTGGAATAAATGGCACCTGAACACGTGATTGCGCGTTTTCACAATGCGGTTTCAAATCGCGGGCAGAATTGCGGCAAATCCACGCTAGTGTGAATGGAGCCTTAGAACAAGATCAGAAGCTGTCGGTGACAGATTAGTCTCTGTATCAGTGGCGTGCTATGGAACACGCTTCCAGCACAAACAGGTGCGCATATACATGGAGTCACGGAAGAAGGCTACGCAAATATGGGTGAGGTCAAAGAGAAAGGGTTAAGGGCCCATTTACACTGCAATACAAAGCATTGTGTTCCCATCATACAAATGGTTTCTGTTCCAGGGGCGGACTGACAACTCATGGGGCCCCCGGGCAATAGGGGATCATGGGGCCCCTGTGTCCTTGCAGAAACTCAAAAAAGCCTATGAAAAAGGTACCAGGGGCATCTCATGGGGCCCCCTACTGACCCCGGGCCCTCGGGCAGTGCCCGAGTTTCCAAATGGTCAGTCCGCCCCTGGTCTGTTCCCATCTATTAGATTGTAAGCTCTTATGAACAGAGCCCTTCTAAACCTCCTGCATTGTATTGTAACTGTACGCCTTTTATATTGTAAAGCGCTGCGCAAACTGTTGGCACTATATAAATCCTGTATTATAATAATAATTTCAACTCTGCGTTTTAAAAAAATGCATCATATCTGGGGGTTTTTTCTGCATTTTATTGTGTTGGGAGGCCCATAGGTCTCATTCACACTGGCGTACCCAAGCGTGCATCCTTGCCTAGGACCGCATGTGCCTGCATGGAATGCACCGCTGTTCTGTGCATCCGCATACAGGCAGATCCATTCATTGCCAATGGAACACAGTGGTTGCACGGACCCAGCAGCTGCTTCCAGTCTGATGCCAATGGAGGTGCGTGCCCATGAATACAGACAGTGTGCATTCGGGGACACTCACTCACATGAAACACCTGTACAGTGCTGTGCACATGCAGGGCTGCTGTTAGAAACCACGGGGCCCCATACAGCCATACTGACAGGGCCCCACCAAAAAAAAAAAAAAAAAAAAAAAAACAAAACCCAGTTATGAATGAACACAGCAAGTGATCATTAGCGGTCACTCATTGTGCTCATTCAGGAAAAGAAGGGGCTGGTAAATGTTATATTTATTGGACCCTTCCCACACTTTCCATCCTGAAGGATCCTATTGTGTGCTTGCAGCTGCCGGTGGGAAGGAGAGATGGGAAAGCACTGCCGGGGTGGGGGCCTGGGCAGGGGGCCTGGGCAGCAGGGGGAAATGTATGGTGCACAGCGGAGGGGGGGGGGGCAATTACTGGAACCAATCCCCTGTATGGATCTCTCTGCAGCAGCTAAAAGCCAGCGGGAAGTGGAGGGGAAGAAGCCAGCTTTCAGCTGCTGCAGGGAGAGCCATATAGGGGGTCGGTTCCAGTAATTGCCCCCCTGTGCTGATCACCCTCCCTGCCCACATCTGATTCAGCCAGCTGCCTGGGCCCCCCTGCTGGCCTGGGCCCCATACAGAAGGACTGGGGGTACTCCCTTATCCACGGCTCTGTGCACATGCTGCCATGAAAATTTGAATGATCGGGCATGTTGGAAAGGTTTTGAAAAATGTACAAAATTCTAATCAATGATGGGAGAATTGTATGACAGATATAATCAAAAAAGAAACGAGCCTGAGCTGTGGCCTGGAAAGAAAAGAAGATTCCTGGCCACGAAAATTCTTTCTGTAGCAACATGAGGTGAAATTGAAGGCTTGGTTGGTCGAATTCCGAAATCATTGGTGGCGCCATCGGGTTACAAAGCGCACAAAATTTCTGATATTCTAAAGAAAATTTGTTCAGAGTTTGACTAATGAATGATCTGCATTAGGTATGCCTGTGCAAGTGAGAGCATAGATGTCAATGATAGTGCATCAAAACCAGGGGCGGACTGACCATTGGGGAACTCGGGCACTGCCCGAGGGCCCGGGGTCAGTAAGGGGCCCCATGAGATGTCCCTGGTACCTTTCATAGGCTTTTTTGGGTGTGATTTGAGTGTGGGTGAGGACACAGGGGCCCCATGATCCCCTATTGCCGGGGGGCCCCATGAGTTGTCAGTTCGCCCCTGATCAAAACGCATATAATATGTGTTATGACGCATTTGCAACTTTATTTACTCCAAATTCTAACTGTTAAAAAACGCATTGAAAAACTGCATTAAAACGCATGTCAACACAAAAAACAAAATGCATTATGCATGACATAACCCAACCCCCACCCTCCAAAAAAAAACTCTGCTCAGGCATAGCTCTAAATGGGCCTTAAAGAGGTATTAAACCCAAAAGCAAACATTTATTATATTGAAGCTTACCATATCTTAGATGTGACGGCTGCATTAGTATTCTTTTTTTAGGCTTTCTTTCATTTTGTATTTTTATTTGGTGATCCTGCCAGTAAGTCTGTTGTTTTTCAGCAGTTGAAGCTCTCCAGCAGAGTGTATCAGTTTACAGAGATATTATTTATTTCAGGTACTTATATAGCGCCATCAATTTACGCAGCGCTTTATATATATATTGTACATTCACATCAGTCCCTAACCCTCAAGGGGTGTACAATCTAAGGTCCCTAACTCACATTCATACATACACATACTAGGGACAATTTAGACAGGAGCCAATTAACCTACCAGCATGTCTTTGGAGTGTGGGAGGAAACCGGAGTACCCAGAAGAAACCAACACAGGCACAGGGAGAACATGCAAACTCCAGGCAGGTGGCGCCGTGGTTGGGATTTGAACCGACGACCCTAGTACTGCCAGGTGGAAATGCTAACCAATTAGCCACTGTGCTGCCCATTATATTGAAGCTTACCATATCTTAGATGTGACGGCTGTATTAGTATTCTTTTTTATGCTTTCTTTCATTTTGTATTTTTATCTGGTGATCCTGCCAGTAAGTCTGTTGTTTTTCAAAAGTCCAAGCTCTCCAGCAGAGTGTATCAGTTTACAGAGATAGGACAAACCATTTACCACTGGCAGAGGTGCTTACAATGATCAGCTTTTATTTCATTTTTTTTTATAAAACCCAAACTGTTTCCTGTAACTGATTATAAAGTATTAGCTGGAGTTCGGCTTCGATTTGTTAGTGTATCTAAATCTGCTAGTACATCTAACACTCCCCTCTTTTCCGACAGACAATGCTGCTGTCTAAAGGTGCCCCCTGTGCTCCATCATCCATTACCTAGATGTGATGGCTGCATTAGTATTCTTTTTTTAGGCTTTCTTTCATTTTGTATTTTTATCTGGTGATCCTGCCAGTAAGTCTGTTGTTTTTCAAAAGTCCAAGCTCTCCAGCAGAGTGTATCAGTTTACAGAGATAAGACAAACCATTTACCACTGGCAGGGGTGCTTACAATGATCAGCTTTTATTTCATTTATATAAAACCCAAAATGAAATGGTTTGCTGTAACTGATTATAAAGTATTAGCTGGAGTTCGGCTTCAATTTGTTAGTGTATCTAAATCTGCTAGTACATCTAACACTCCCCTCTTTTCCGACAGACAATGCTGCTGTCTAAAGGTGCCCCCTGTGCTCCATCATCCACAGTGGGGGCGCTCTAATACAGGAGGTATGTTTATTGGCCAGATCACCAGGTTTAAACAGAGAGAAAAATGCCTAAAAAAGAAAAGTAATGCAGTCACCACATCTAATGATTGGTAAGCTGCAATATATGACATTTTTGGCTTTGGGGTTAATACCGCTTTATATACCAAAAATGTGTTCTAAGAATTATGTACAAATTCCTAATTCTGCGAAAGAATGTGTAAAACACGTACAGGAAATGTGGCAGCTAT